AGACAAAGAAAGAAAGAGACAGACAGACAGACAGACAGACAGATAGACAGACAGATTAGGAGACAGACAGACAGACGGACAGACAGCCACACACATACACACACACACACACACACACACACACACACACACACACACACACATACACACACACAGACATGGTGGACCATCAGACAACCTTTCATTCTGGTTCATCCACTTACAGACCAGACAGACAGACAGACAGACAGACAGACAAACAGACGGACAGACAGAGAGATAGACAGACTAACAGACAAACAGACGGAGAGACATACAGACAAACAGACTGACTGACTGACTGACTGAATGACCAGACATGGCGACAGACAGACAAACTGACAAACAGACAGACGTACAGACAGGCAGGCAGACATAAAAACCAGAGAGACCGACAGACAGATGGACAGATAGACACAACAGACGGAACAGACAGACCACAGAACTGCTTTGTGTTGTCCATGCATATCTTTGACCTATGTAGGATTTCTTCTTGCGGCAGAGATTCGTCAATGCAACATAGATGATGTTCAGCCATTCAACATTACTATTGTTCTTTCTTGTTTGAATAAGAGGGGAGGAAGCAGGATTCATAATGACCTTTTTCTCTCTCTCCCCTCATGTTTAAACATTTTTTTTTGCAATTGGACGCCATTGAACTTTCTGCCGAGTGAACACTCCGAAATGGTCAGGACCGCAACACAGAACACACAGACAGACAGAAATGATGGTGAAAAGAGAGAAGCGCGTGCACACGTGGAAGAGGGAGAAGAGGGGTTGATGCTAACAAACCAAGCATATAAATTACAGGTCACTGGATGAAAGAATGTAGAGCCAGAGAAAGGAAACAGCAAACACACTTAGTTTACACTCACATACAGATACTATGATGGTTTGCACACATGTCCGCAACAACAGAACAGACAAACAATGGGACCTCCACCAGGCCCGTGGCAAGAAAAGCAACGACAACAACCCCTAATTTAACGAGTGGCCTACCTGTACCCAACCTTCGTAGACGTACAACGCACCACGCACCTACAGACCTACACAACCGTCCAAACGGCAAACATCGACGAGCGCATTTTGGTAAAGATCCAAAGTACACGCATTCACATGGAAACCTACAGTAAGTGGACCGAAGGCTAGGACACACATTAGATAGACCTCCGAGTGCCAACGAGTCTTCAGAAGGGCGGAAACGAAAAACAAGTACAAGACCGAAAGACCCGGGACTACGAAAGTAGAGACAATTGGCAACAGGTTCGGCCGTTGGAGCCCACCGAAAGGCCGATCATTCGGAAAGAAAGAAAGAAAGAAAGACTTGAAGAATGGAAGAAGAAGAAAATGAAAATGAAAAAAAAAAAAAAAAAACAAAGTTAGAAAGAAAGAAAGGAGAACAAGAAAAAGAAGAAGAATATATGGGGTTCACTACTGCGGGCCAAAATCAGCGACAGAGTCATCCTTCAATACCTTCATGTCCCCCACCAATGAACCTGATCTCTCTCTCTCTCTCTCTCTCTCTCTCTCTCTCTCTCTCTCTCTCTCTCTCTCTCTCTCTCTC